ACCCTGTCTGTTAGCTTGTCAATTCTAGCCTCTTGATTTTGCATGCATTTGGTCAAGCCAGCGATTGCTTCCGTCAAGTTTGCCAACTGCTCCTCCATAGATTAAGTGTTTGTCACCATAGATTGCATGATTGTCGTCGATGACGGAGAGTAGCATGGATTTTCACACAGATTGATCTTTGACTGGCTCATGCTATGTGGTGCAAGAGGGGAGGATCCATTGCTTGAAGCATCATCATCTTCCTTCACAGCAGAGTGCTTGGAGCCGGAGAGGTCAAGCAGAGCAAGAGTTTTATTGATCTTTTCAGCAACATCGCTTCCTCCTTCAGATGCATTTGTGGAAGATCTTGCTCCTTCTGAGGATGAAGATCCGAAAACAGGGGTTGATGCGGACGACACTTGGGGTGCTTGTTATCCTAAAGAGCTTGCTTTGCTCCTCGTAACTGGTCCGAAGCTTCCAAAGGTGACATTGAGGATGCTTTCCACATCAGCATAGAACCTGGAGTTAGCAGCCTTGGTGGATGTTGATTTGGAGTTGATTTTCTTCGAAGACATTTCAATGTTCTTGAACTTTGGTGATTGAAAAGTTGAGATGAAAGGTAGAGATTGTCCCGCTGGGCGTGCCAGAATTTGTAGACAATAAATTTGGGTCGAGAAAATAAAATCAAGACCGAAAAAATATCGCAACAATCGTAGTATTTTATTTCGAATATTTGAGTGTTACAATCTCTATGATTCCTCTGATTCTACTTTTCTAGTATAAATTCAAGGGCTTTTGAGGTTGATCTTGAATTGTAATTTGATTTATCCGTCACGAACACTTTGATTGTTGCCACGAATTTTATCACAAACAAGTAGCCTTGATCTTGAACGCCTTGTATTTGATTTGACTTCGTTCTTGATCTTGAATACTTGAATTGTTCTTCGTTCTTGAGCTTGAACTTGATTGCTTGAAGCTTGAAACTTGTAGAGAAATTTGCGGCGTTTGATCCACGATCTTTCTCTTGCTTCTTGTTATAACTTCTGGTGTCTTTTCTGAGTTATGAAGACCCATATTTATAGTTGTGGAAAGAAGGAGTTGTGATAAGAACAAATTTTTTCCGACCAATCAAATTGAAGTGTGACATGGCCGGATTTGATTGTCCAGAACATGTCACTTGCACACGTGGCGCGATTTCATTGGACTTTTAGTGTGATTGGGCATGCCTTGTCATTTTGACACATGGCACGATCCTATTGGCTCTTTCGTTTGACTTGGCGCTCCACGTCATTTGACATATGGCACCAAACTGGACCTCTAGGAAGATAACATCTTGGGCTTAATTAAGTGGGCTCATCACTTTAGCTCAATTAAATGGGCTAGCCCAATAGATTAAGACTTATTTATTTAATCCATATATATTGGACTAATATAATTAATCTAATCATATTGACCCATAATATTTATTTGGACTAACAAATATTTAAAGTACAGTCCAAAATATTTTATTGAATTTCAATTCAATAAATTTTGCATGCTTACACCCATTACCCAAAATCAAGAAGAAAAAAAGCATAACATAAATTCTTCCAAAATCTACCACAAACCTAACAAAGTTCAAACTTTTATTCACTCCAGTAACTTTTCAAACTTTTATTCACTCCGGTAACTTTTTTATGATTGAGCTATCCGTTAGGGACCCAACATAGCTGGCAACTAAGTACTTAAACAATTAACCAAAAATCAGCTAAAAGACAAATCAACTAACCAAGTATTGCTCTATTGCATAAGTAGAGCGAATTCTAAACTTGAGCTAGTCCCATTACTTCGGGATAAAAAGCATAACATAAGTTCAGGGCCAACATAAGCATAGCAGGAACAGAGGTGAGAAGGAACAATTCCTCAACTGATGTTACTCATTGCAGAAAATCACAAGTTCAGGGCCAACATAAGCATAGCAGATTAACCACCAGGCAAACCAACCTTACGTACTAAAATCAGAGATACTAACACATTACGTACTAAAATCAACCTTTCTGTTGAAATAGAACCAATACATTACTAAAACCAGAGATACCAACACATTTCTAAACCCTTAAACATGAAGTCATTATAGAAGGAAGGAAGAAGAAATGTCGAGAAGGAAGAAGCATTGTTAAGAAGGAGCGGAGAAAGTACCTGTTGTTGTTGCATTCTGGTCAAGAAACTAGCAAATTATTTGTGCATCTTCTTCTCCACTTCTAGAGAGATCCTCTTGTCTGTTTCTGCATTTGTGTGTTGACTCTCCTCTGCCAACTTCCTTTCCAACTCAATTTCCATATTTCTTCGCAACTCAGCAGCCATTTGTTCATGTTCTTCTTTCAACTTCCTATCCATCTCGGCTTGCATCTCCTGGCGCACAATATCAATAGCAGAAGACACACTGGCCTCTATGTTTGACTACTGAATGTTACTCTTTTTAGGAGGCTTCTTTCCGTATCCTTTTCCACGAACATAGCATGTTCTCTCACCAACAACGGAGGATAAAATTTCATCTCTAGTCATGGGATGCTCGATCTCCTCAGATTGTTGCTGAGCAACAACTTCCTAGAGTTGACCCTGTATTTATGCATAATCATTTAAATCAAAACATAATAAAACATATTAAATGAAACTTACAGAAACAGAGAACTTTATAAGTGTTTTTAGATAATTACATGAATTTGTTGGGATTGTGAATCCAACCACACCAGTTCGCCTCTATCATCCTTGCGTGTATGTTGGATCTCTAAAACTTTATCTGGTGTGTCCAATTCTCCAGTAATAGGATTTCTCTACAATATAGTTACGGAAAAAAAATATATAAGCGAATATATAAATATGTAAATAACAAAGAAGCATATGTGATAGTAGGGGACTAAACATATTTTTATCGTAGATTCATCTACTTCTGCAAAAGACTTTGTACCACAAGTATGCTTAGTTATTTGCTTTTCTCTATTTCTTTTGTTCCTCTCACTTACAACCTGTAAGTAAACAGATTAATAAATCATCATTCAAAGAGACAATCTTCAAGTATTAAGTTAATACCTTAAATTCCGGACTTCCAAAATATTGTATTAGGTATTTCCAGTCCTCAAGCTCAACATCTTCAGGTTGATGAGACAATCTTTCTTCATTAGTATTGTACTTAGAGTGCAGAATGTTGAGTCGAGCTTTTCATGCTCTAAAAAGCCTTTACATAGTGCTAATTACAAAGACCTTAAACCTATGCTCTCGCAACCCGCTGCAAACTTCAAACTTATCCTGACAATAAATGTAACATTATATTCAATATCCTAACCACATAAATAAACCTTGCAACTTAAAGTCACAACAATATTGAAAGTAGTTTATTACCTTGACCTTTAACCACATTACTTCTCCGTGTTTCAGAACTATTTATTGTCAAGGACACCGAATCATAGTGTTCACCGTTGGTTGACTGAATTTCCAATTAAGAAAGTTGTCTACTCCATCTCTGTATCTTTGGTCGACTCTATTCCTAATATTCAACCAACTTTTATCCATCATATCTATATTAAAAAAATAAATAAATAAATTTACTAATTAAAAGGGGAAGGATTATAATAATCAAAATATATATAATAACTAACATATACCAGGGGTATTCAGATAAGCAGTAACAAAAATACATTATTCAACAAGAAGGAAGCAGTCTATTCCAGAATTACTTATACGAATTGTGTGCAATGAAGAACAAGTTCAAACTATGGTATGTACCACTCTATGAAACTACAAAAATACATGACCTTAGTAATGTGTTACTTAAGTTCCTGCCAGGTAATATGCAAGATTGATAACTTCAACAAACAATATTCAGAAATCATATAACAAAATTTCTTATGCTGGACGAGATTAGAAGATAGTTAAACGGGCAGAGAAATTACGAGGAAGAAGCATTTATGGTGATCTTCTGCTTCTTTTCTCTGCAAAGAGGAATACTGCAGAGGAAATGTTCTGGAATGAAACTATGAAGACAAATTATTCGAAGATTTTAAAACAGGCAAAAGCTATTCGAAGATCAAACTACGAAGACAAGAAAACTCCTGCGATTCTTTAACCGAGTGAATCAGTCAATCTAATTGCTAAGAGTGAAACTAATCCCATACCAAGAAGAGACCTGCCATAACCAAAATTGTGTTTTCAATGATAATAATCTTGAGCGCCTTAGGAGAACAACAAATAAACAAAGACCGATCCATTTCATAGAAAACTTGAACCCGACTCTTAAACGACAAGGAAGAACCAAGCTTCGCTATGGGGTACAGGAAAGTTACTTAATAAAAGGGAAGAAAACAAGAAAACAACAACAACGGGTTGGTGAGATCTCCTTCAACGAAATTCTTTGGGTTTTATATCTATGATAATTTACTGGTGGACAGATATGCACTACTCCCAGTTAGTATACCTAATTTTTCATGAAGAGGGTCAGACACAATGAGCAAGTTTCTGATGGGAAATTTTGAATTATATATTTCATATTTTCTGTGAGGAAATGTAGACATAAAACTGCTCTGGTTGGAACTGCATAACACACAAGTTTTCACTCACACAGGGCAAAGGATTTATATCATTATCACTTTTCAATAGTCACTTTTAAGAATTATCGAAGATATGTCCAACAATATACTAATGAGATAACTTGATCAAAACCTACTGGCATGCATAGAAGTGAAATTAATTTTAATTTAAAAAAATTAAAATACTTGATTACAGCAAAGCAACTTCTTTCCCCAAAGAAAAACGAAAAGATTAGGGATTTTAACATACCTAAGTTTTTAAAATTTCACTTCTATATTATCTTGTCCTTTGCCGACTTCCGCAGCTGTGTACAAGTTCTTGAATACTTGAAGTTGAAGAAGCTTTGAATCGAAAGTCCATAGTGGTCTTCTTCTTCACACAACTCTATACACAAATTCAAACCCGGCAACAACTTCTTCGCACAACTCGATTCACAAATCCAGCTTCCAATCTTAAGATTTAGCTTCAAAATGAAGTGTCCGGCAAGTATCATAAATACCCAATCGAATTCACATTCTGATTTGAGGGATTTCGATTTGGGTAACATTTTTAAGGGATTTCGATTTGGGATTTCTATTATCTGGACAGATTTCTACCTAGAGAGGACCGATTTAGGGTTGCGATTTGGGATTTCTAGCTATAGAGGACCGATTTTGGGCGCTTCACTGTTCTTTACATCGACTCGATGTGTTAGAGATGAGAGTTTCGCTGCTTCTGTCTCTGGACCAATTTTAGTGTTTCATTTACTAATTATTTTCTTTTGTTATTTTAAAAGGGAATAGGAGCAACCCAGTTGCTGCAATACATATTTAGCGGCGACTTCACAAAAGTCGCCACAATAAATATGGAGCCAAAATTTTAATTTTAGTAAGAGTGAAAATTTCAGCCACTTTTAGAGGCGACCTACGAATAGTCGCTGCAAAATATAAACAAACTGTGGCGACTTTTAAAGTCGCTGCTGATAATATACATTTGTAGCAACTTATGGGGTTGCTGCTAAATGTCACCACTAATTATCCAATTTCTTGTAGTGTTTGTTTTCTTTGGTAGAAGAAGAAATTCTTACGTTGTGGCGTAGACTTGTCTTCAACAGAAATTGTTCTTTTAGGTGTTGGTTCTTCATTAGGTAGTGGAGTTAAAATACCAAATGATTTTTTTGGTAGAAGAGTTGGTCTTTGTTCTTCAAGACAAGAAAGTGACGCTTTTAAAGCTTGAAAAATGCTAACCCCTTTTTTTATGTTAATATACTAATATGTATACAAAGTGTAAAAGGTAGGGTGTCTTGACATAAGTTTATTAGGTTGCCACATATCCAAATAACTAAGGAGTCATTGTTTGGAAAGTGGCGTGGCTGCCACATATTTTTGGGAGTTAATTTATTAATTTTTACTCACTTATTAGTTAACTGGGTAATGTTCTGTTACTCGGTAATTAATTAATTACTCGCATAAGTTTAAAAAAAATTAAATTACTTAAAATTCTACTTATTTTTAATATACTTTATATATACTTTATACATTATACTACCGTGGTCATATAGTACATTGCATGGTACTAGTTCATAATTATCGGGTATTATTGCTTGACCTGTATTTTATCCCATATTGGTCACTTTCAACGAAAATTATTTTCTTTAATTTGTGTACCCTTTATCCTTCATGACACTTACTTATCGCTTATTATAAATAGCGTATATACGTTAACCTCAAGATAATCGCATCCCTGAGTCTACGTCGATCAAGTGAAGACAAAACTTTTAACGTACGAAAACGTGAGATGTAATACGGTGGTAAGTCCATTCGTTCCATTTGAAACCGGGACAAGAACTCTCTAAGCATTTCATTATCCTTCTGCCTTACTTTGAAAAGGTCTGATTTCCTGGTTTCGACCTTTATAGCGCTGGTATGTTCCTTCACAAAAGAGTATGCAAGAATAGATGAGTCAATAGAATTAGGTGGTAAATTGTGATACCATATCATATATCCCTTTGACAGGGTCTCCCCGAGTTTCTTTAGCATGACAGATTCGATCTCGTCATCCTACAAGTTGTTCCCTTTGATGGCGCATGTGTAGGAGGTAACATGCTCGTTTGGGTCGCTCGTTTCATTGTACTTAGATAATTCGGGTATGCGTAACTTCTTAGGAATCGACTTGGGAGCCGCGCTTGGAGGAAAAGGTTTCTGTACGAACTTCTTGGAGTCCAGGCCTTTCAATATTGGCGGCGCTCTGGGATTTGATTGACCCTGGAATTGTAAGTTTCCATCTTATTATCGTTTGCCTCGATCTTCTTCTCTATCGACTCTATCCATTTTTTTAGTTCCTCGAGCATCGTCATGATCACCGGGTTGGTCCACGACTCTTTCTCATTCGATTTCCCTAAGGCCAACTCAACTTTGTGAACAACTTCCTGGGGTGGTCCAGGCTCAATCCTACTTGGTGGGCGACTCTAGTTCTAGAGTTGGGCTATCGACGCTTGTTGAGTCTGTAACATTTCGAAGATCACCTGCAGGTTGATTCCACCATCCTCGCCGTCGTGTGTGCTTTGTGCGACCGATCGAACATCCATATGAACGCTACCCTCAGGATCGGTGGGCAGATTTGCATTGATGGCCACATTAGCTCACGTCGATGGGAACTGCAGTCGGGATTCCGTCGAGATCAGTCGGGGGCACATCATTCCCGGGCGCTACGTTATCGTTTTCGTCATGGTGACCGAACTCACTGTCAACTGTAGGGGTGCTGATTGGGAGTCCGACATTTTTATCCTGAAATTAGAGACACTTCAAAGAAAAAGTGTAAAATAGTGTGTGTTATAGAAATTTGTATCAAATAACCACTATTATCCTTAGACCCACGGTAGACGCCAAACTGTTTACCCTCAAAATCGGATAAAAATTAAATTTGTAAGTGGTTTTAAGGATACGTGGATTAAATTGACACAAAGCGATAAGTTAAATTGTAATTGAAAATAAAGTACGATAAAGTAAATGCAAACCACATGAATTGAGCAGTAAAAGCCTTGGGGAGTAGAGCCACCCTTTAGCTGAACGTACTTCGATCAGTATCAAGATACAGTTAAAATAGAATTCAAAGAGAAAATAACAGTGTATTGCTTCTGAGTGGATGTCACAATGTGCTTTACAAATAATCAGACCCCCTTTATATAGTAGGGGGGTCCTACTTTAGGTACAACTCTATAAAAGGTAGAAAATCCCATGATTTGCTAATTAGCCGATTTTCCATTGATACGTGCCAAGATTCTCACCGTAATACCCGATCGGTTACGGATATTTCGGCCTTCTGTTATCTGGTCTGACAATGTTTCCTTGAGCTCATCCGGTGTCAGGGTCGATTTCGGGGTCACGGACTCGATGTCCTTGTAGACGGGCATTTTGACCTCGTGCCCTAGTTCGATGGAATCCGAGGTCGATCTTCAACCGTTCACGTTTCAATCCTGATCTGTCATCCAATAGATGAGCCCGATTTCGACCCTATACACTATTTATTAGGTTTTTGTCCCTCGCTATTCGCGGGTCCACTGACGGAGGGAGAAATTCAAAAATAGCCAGATTTACAACTGGTCGTTCAAAAATAGCTCAGTTTCAAAAGTAATCGAAATTTAGCCACTTTTCATGTAAAGATAAATTTGAGCGAAAATACTGTTCAAAACCCGGAAAACACGCCAGTATATTATACTGGAGTTCCAGCATAAGTATGTTTGAACTCCAGCATATTATACTGGAGTTCCAGGATAAGTATATTGGAACTCCAGCATAATATGATGGAGTTCCAGCATAAGTACACTAGAACTCCAGCATAATATACTGGAGCTCCAGCCTGTATAATTGTCCAGTATAATATACTGGAGTTTGGAGCACCGGTGCTACAGTCTCCAGTATATTATATTGGAGTCAGCAAAGTATACCGGTCCAGCATAATATGCTGGAGTTCATTTACTGGTGCACCGAACTCGAGTATATTATGCTGGACCGGTCTCTGTTGCAGCAAAATAGTGGCTATTTTTCATTAAATTCGTAAACGCTGACTATTTTTGAATGACCAGTCCGAAAATTGGCTATACCGTGCTATTTTTACGGACAAAATTTTAAGATGTATAGAAAAAGAACTTTGTGAAAACTGCAGGCGTTGGAGTAATGCTGGATTTTTGTTATACCCTTAGCTACCCAAGCTTGTACCTGTTTAGGTCCAGTTTAGCAACACATTTAACAAAATTCTGTTTACAGCAAGTTCAACCAATTAGCAGTTTTAGAAGATGCTATCATTGATAGTTCATACCTATTAATTTTTTTAACATATCTATCCTAAGTTTTCAATGGTTCGGTTGCGAGCTCTTTTATCAGTGATAATTATCGCCTCAATCAATGGATAGTAACATATTAAAATCATATGTAGCAAAACTGTTTTCGTTTTCACAATCTGACTTTGGTCCCTTTTTTTCTTTACTCTTTCACCAATTTGACTTTGGTCCCCTGACACGACCAAATTTGGGAAATCTGTTAGTCCTTTCGATGTTCCCCTTTCAATTCCATAACAAAAAGTCATACCAAAGGATCAAATACTTCTCATAATTTTGAGAAACTGTGAAGAATATAATAAACTCAAAGTATCAAATCACTTTAAAATTCAGCTTCATGCTAACGGGAAGAAATGTAAATAAAATAAACCTAATTCGCCTCTATATATATATATGATTAATGTTCTTTCCCCAGTTAACTTAATTGATGCTTGCATCTAGTGCAGTAATTTTCCCTTTAGCGTTGGATCTGTTTTGCTTGATCATTTCACCCTTGAAAGTTTAAGCTTGAAAACAATATTAATTTACTTCGACGTTTTTAATTTCCCATAGAATCTGTGGAACTTTCCTAGTCGCTATAGTTTTTTTTCTTATCTTCTTTGTTTGAAAATTTGTTTGATTTGCTTCACCGATGAGAAATTCTATCAAATCTTCTTTTATTTATTAAAGCTCATCCTAATCTTCGTCGAAATTACTGTCTTAGATCTGTCCTATCATTTGTATAATGGAGTTCTTCATTTATTGACAATTTTCAAAATTTTAACTCACTCTAAATTTCAAATTAATCCTATAAATTTTTAAAGTATTTTAATTTCACACTCTAATCGATAGGAAAATTTTGCAAACGGGGTTTAGCTTAAATGGTAAGTGGCCGTACCTCAAACAGATAGGTTGAAGATTTAAATCACGTTAAAAGATAGTCCAAATCACTATTGATCCTCTTATGAATTGTGATTTTGAAAAAAGAAAAAGGACTAATCTCTAGCAATATTCTCTTAAATCATGAACTACCTGACTGGCTAACGAAACGAGGTTGAATAAAATGTAGGACATGACTCGTGAGTAAATGCTAAGGCCATAGCTTGGTGGATAGTTTAACTGTATTCTTCATATATAAAAATATGATTTCTAATCTTGAAATAAAGCCGATTACTCATTCGTAGATGTTGCATGGCCCTCAAAACTCACTTTTATGTATAAACACAAACAGCACTCGATGGTGCTTTCCTTTTGAGTTGCCAATTTTCAGCCCTTCCTTCCATATTAGGAAACTCGCGCCTACCCATTAACACAAACAGCTCTTAATGTTGCTTTCCTTTTGAGTTGTCCATTTGCGTACATCTGCCTTCAGTATTAGGAAGCTTCGTCCATTTGACATCCGAACTCGTAACATTATCTTTCAAATTACGTTTACTTGGTCACTGAATTGAATTCACGTTAATAGTACCTTTGATCTATATTATCTTCCTTTTTAAGATTTGTATACATCTTTTGAATAAAGTATTTAGTAGCTTAATCATAACATGTTTATCAAAATTATACTTTTATCTCTTTTTAAAATAACATCTAACTTAATTAACACTCTATTAATTGTACGGAAAAAGGTTCAAAATGCCCCTAAAATTTCGAAAAAGGTTTAAAAATACCCTTCATCTACCTATTGGGCTAAAAATACCCCTCCATCCACTTTTTTTGGTTCAATTATGCCCTTTGACCGTTAAGTCAATGCTAAACTAAAAATAATTATTATTCTTTTTGTAAAACTTAAAAATAATTGCAAAACATTTTCATTTTTTTAAACTAATGCACCAATAGTCCACTAATTTAGTAAAGTCTTCTTTTTTTTTTAGTTTTTACAAAAAAC